TTCAAAAAAAACCCCTGAACTATTTTTTTTCATATTGACGAAGATATCGTTTAACATAGATACAAAAAAAAGAACATGTAATCGAATTGAGAACGTCCTCCTTTCTCGAAGTCGACAAAAAACTCAGATTTATTTTTCGTTATATTTTATAACAGCCGAGAAATAATTCATACTTATTAGAATCTTACACGTGACGTCATACTATTTAATATTTATCATGTCAAAAGTATTTAAAAATGAATTGTATTTGTTTAAAGTATATGAGCGAAAACAAAGTGTTACCCTGCTCGCATATAACCTTCGCAGCCGTTACAACTACAAGGGCTGGTGCCTCGATGTATTTCTGGATTAGTACCGTACGGAAAGTTGAGTCACGTTTCGAACCGCGGGACGCTGTCTCCGAACGGCCTTCCGCTCTACAAAATAATGGAACAAAGTACCTACCATGCTTGATGTCTTTTTTATTGCAAAAAGGTAATCTTTATACTTCTAAAATCACAATTACAAGTTTGTTCTTATACATTATGAGGTAGTCGTAAAATCGGTAGTAAAAAGGTATAAAATTAGTATTACATGTTTTACAGGCCTGGTACTCTACCAAGAAGCTGGCGGTGTCTTCTGTGATATTGCAAAGGCATTTGATTATGTGGATTATAAAGCCTTCATTTTCAAACTTAAATATTACGGTATTCTTAATGCCACACTTATGCCCAAATGCTCAAACGCTGCTCAATTTGAAGACGCCGTTAAGTTCGTGCTGTCTCTGTCACTTTAAGTAAAGTAATACCACGAGACTTAACGGCATCTTAAAATTGAGTAGAGTTTTAATATTTGACCATCAATCTCTTATTACCATATCGCCCGAAACAAGAGCAGGTAATCAACGGTATAGTGCAATCGGGACTTGTGATAAAGTGGGTGGCCCAGCCTCAGGGATCGATACTTAGCCGTTTGTGACGTGAAACATTTTTTTAAAATCACAGCGAAACATAATGGTACCAGGTCAGATAAATTCATCATCATCATCATTACAGCCCTTCACAAGTCCACTGCTGAACATAGGCCTCCCCCAAAGAATGCCACAAAGCACGGTCCTGAGCCACCTGCATCCATCGACTTCCTGCATGTCTTACCAGGTCGTCACTCCATCTCGTGGGGGGACGCCCTACACTTCGCCTACCGGTACGAGGCTGCCACTCGAGAACCTTTTTTCCCCATCGGTTGTCGGTTCTTCGAGCTATATGGCCGGCCCATTGCCACTTCAGCTTACTAATCCGTTGGGCTATGTTGGTTACTCTGGTTCTACTGCGGATATCCTCATTCCTAAGTTTATCACGCAGAGAAACTCCGAGCATAGCCCTCTCCATAGCTCGCTGAGCGACCTTGAGCTTCCTCATCCGGCCAGCAGTGAAGGACCACGTCTCAGTTCCGTATGTCATCACTGGCAACACGCACTGGGTGTACAGTCTCGTTTTCAAGGTTTGAGGTATACCTGAAGAGAAGATGTGCCGTAATTTCCCGAACGCTGCCCAACCGAGTTGAATCCGTCGATTGACCTCTCGGTCGAAGTTGGACTTACCTAGTCGGACTATTTGTCCCAGGTAAACATACTCGTCAACAACTTCGAGCTTAGTGTTCCCAACAACTACCGGCATAGGTGTGACATGGATATTAAACATGATCTTAGTTTTGTCCATGTTCATCTTAAGACCTATCCGTTGGGAAACACTATTGAGGTCATTGAGCATAGTGCTTAGGTCCTCCAGCGATTCTGCCATAAGGACTATATCGTCGGCAAATCGAAGGTGAGTGATGTACTCGCCATTGATGTTGATACCGTATCCTTTCCAGTCCAGAAGCTTGAAAAACGTCTTCCAATGCAGCGGTGAAGAGTTTCGGGGATATGACGTCACCCTGTCTTACACCTCTCTGCAATTGGATAGGTTTCGTACTTTGGTTCTGTACTCGGATAGCCATCGTAGCCCTACTGTACAAGCACTTCAACACTTCGATATACCGACAGTCAACTTGGCACCGCTGAAGGGACTGCAGCACCGCCCAAATTTCGACGGAATCAAAGGCTTTCTCATAGTCCACATACGCCAGACATAGTGGCAAATTGTACTCTTCGGACTTCTGTACAATTTGCCGAAGGGTATGTATGTGGTCTATGGTGCTAAAGCCCTTTCGGAAACCGGCTTGTTCGGGAGGCTGGAAGTCGTCAAGTCTGCGCGCAAGACGATTCGTAATGACTCTCGAAAACAGCACGTAGACGCGGCTCAGAAGGGAAATCGGTCTGTAGTTCTTCAAGAGAGCGTTGTCACCTTTCTTGAAGAACAAGACCACCGCACTTCTGCTCCACGCCTCCGGTGTAATGCCACCATGGAGGACGGAAAAAGAGCCTCTGAAGGACTTCAAGTACCGGTTTTCCACCCGCTTTCAGAAGCTCCGCTGTAATTCCATCCTCGCCTGGGGCCTTACCGTTTTTAAGGTGCTGGAGAGCCATTCTAATCTCGCTCAGACTGACGTCCGGGATATCTTCGGAATAGTGTCGGATGAGACTCGCTCTTGGATCGTTACTCACACTTGCGTGTGGCTCCAACGATGACGTGTACAACTGCCCATAGAACCTCTCAATCTCACTCAAAATCTCAGGTGTCCCGGAAACGATGCTGCCACATTCTGTCTTCAGCTTTGACAGTTGGCTCTTTCTGGCAGACAATTCTCTAGCAAAGACTTTGGAGCCTTGGTTCCGCTCGATCGCTTCTTCAATACGAGCTGTATTGAAGTTGCGTAAGTCCCGCCGCATGCATTTGGAGATCTGTCTGTTCAGATGCCTGTATGCTGTCAAGTCTCTTGAAGAATGTAGCTTCATCTCCCGTCTAACAGCCATGAGATTAAGAGTGTGATCGGAGAGTTTTTGTGTTCTTCTGCGGCGGGTCTTGCAGAACTTAGCTCCGACCGCATGGACAGTTTCCACGAGCTTGTCATTCATATCGTCCACTTCATTGCAGTCTTCTAGGCACTGAAAACGGTTTTGTAACTCGAGCTGAAAGGTTTCGGGACTTTGGATTAGAGCACGAGGGGGACGGAGCGTTGACTTCATTAGACGAGACCTCTCCAACTTAACGTTTAGGTTCAGTGTGCCTCTAACCATTCGGTGATCGCTACCAGTTTTCACCCTCGCGATCACGGAGACATCACTGAACAGTTGTCGTCTGGTCGTCATAATGAAGTCAATCTCATTTTTTGTCGAACCGTCGGGGCTCGACCAGGTCCACTTCCTGTGGGGCCGCTTCTGGAAGAAAGAGTTCATCATAAAGAGTCCCTCTTTCTCCATGAAGTCGGCCAGCTGCTGGCCCCTTGGGTTGCGTTGCCCTATTCCAAATTTCCCTACTTTCAGCTCACCGTTCTCTCTTGTGCCTAGTTTTGCATTAAAGTCTCCCATTAACACCGTATATTGGGTTTTGGAGGAATGTATGACTCTAGAGATATCCTCATACATTTCCTTCACCTCCTCATTATTCAGATAAATTAACCGTAATGAAAAGGTCTATATCGTCTTGCCTTAATAATAAAACTGTTAGTCTTAGAGACCTAAGTGAAGTGTCATTATTTAACTTAAATGTATAGTCAGCTCGCTGTTACCACTTTGAGTTTGCATCACGGCCCTGCGGGTTGCGAACGCGAAGTATGACCAAAACCGGCACTCTCTCTCCTATCTGACACTAAAAGCGACTCGCTGACATAGACGTTTCACGTTATACCAACGGCCGCGTGCCCTGACACAGCCCCACACGATTTTTTAATGTTCGTCTACACAAATGACCACCTTCCATGTATGGTAAAAATTTTGTTGGTAAAAATTGGTTTGCTGAAGTTTACAAAGACGATTTTCCTCCACTGGAACGGCCCAACCTATTGCTTTTTTTTTACAGCGACTTATTTGTTTCCAGTAGTAAGTAGTAAATTAGTGTAAGCGAGGAAAAAATAAATTGTTTACACATACTCAAAATGTCAATTTAGATTTTGAAAGTTCGACCGTATTTCTCAGAATTTACATTGATTCCAATCTCTAGTGGAGAGGACAAATTGATAAACTGGCTTTGATATTAAGTTCTGCAATTTTTATATTTTTTTTATAGCAGAGGGGGCAAACGAGCATGCGGCTCACCTGGTGGTAAGTGACTACCGCCGCCCATAAACAACTGCAACACCAGATGCGTTGCCGGCCTTTTAAAAATAAGTAGGCTCTTTTCTTGAAGATCCCTAAGTCGTATCGGTCGTATTTTAGAAGGATTAGAGAACTGACTCAGATTTTAATAACATTAAAAAAAAAAGAAAATACCGTTAAACAGCCTACCACAAAGTAGTGTCAATTTTGACGTTTAAAAGTTTTAGCAAGCCTTACCTAATAAATATAAAATTTTGAATTGAATTTAAAAAAATCTATAGTCTCGTTTTCAAGCTGGTTTCTGATGATGTTATGCTGTTAGCCTTTTGGCTTTTACAGCTTCTTTGGATTCAGGGTCCAATCGTTTTCAGTTAAGTCGTCCGTCTATGTACCACACTTACCTATTTTCACCGCAAAGAAGTGCGTGCACTGTTGTGTTTCGGCCTGAAGGGAACAGAGAGCCAGTACAATTACAGGCTGTTAGGCATTCCATCTTAGTCCTTAGAGGGAGACAACGCATCTTTAACCCTTCTTTGTATGAACTTGGTTGCAGGTGTCCATGCACTGCAGTAACCACTTAACCTACTAGTACTAGTACTTACCTAAAATACGAACAGATTGTTGTAATACAAATCTATTTGACCTGCACTAAGGGCAAGTTATCGCATTTCAAACACGCTACAAATATTTAAAACAGTAAAAAGTTCCAATTTCTATAGCTGATCATATTAGTATGAGAATTTAGGGCCAACTTGCAATGTTTGTTTAACTGAAAAATAACTATAGGAAATAATAAAAAATATATAGAAGAAACTGTATTTCTTACCGTTTACATGCTTGCATATCGTATCTTTATCCCGAAGTTCTTTGTCTATGCTCCATACGGGAGAATCCGGTTTATTGGAAGCTCTGTAAATAAAGGCTTATATTACATCCTTACGTAAAACATACAAGATACAAACAAGACTTGTTTCAAGGTCCTCGTCGGGTCAAGCAATTACTTGGATAAATTAGACGTAGATAAGTCACCGGTGGTTTAACAAAGCATGAATCATCATGTCATTAACTAAGCAGCAGTGTAAAGCCTTGGTAGCTTATAGATCTATATATATATACCTATATCAAAAAAGCTGACATTATATATATATATATAAATTACGTGTCACGTTGTTTGTCCGCGATAAACTCCTAAACTACTGAACTGATTTCAATGAAATTTTGCACACTGTGTGCAGTTTGGTCCAACTTGAGAGATAGAATAGTTTTAATCCCGATAAATGACCCTCAATTTTTTTATTGCTAATATCAGGACTTTTATTAGGAAATTAAATGGTCGTCGAAAAGAGCAGAACATCGTCTGCCTGGCAGCTAGTATATATATTATATATATAAATATATATATCTCTATAGGTCAGTTTTTTGCTTCGTTCGTAACGCACCTCGCGCAATGGAAATGCAAGTCGCATTGTAATGATTCAGTGCACGAGCTAAATTTTAGTGTGCGAAACTCAAGGGTCAACGATCCGACCGTCACGGCCGTGTGTCCGCGGTTCAAGATCGGGAAAACAAGAAGCACATTGTAAACGTCATCGAAGAATTATACTAATTCACCATTCAACCAAATCACATGTAGGGGAATCAATTACACGGTTATTGTTAATAATTATACATAAATTGCAAGACGTCTCACATAACGTTAGACTTCGAATACCTAATGTTTAATAATTTATAAGAAAGTACTAGTGCGAAGTTAGCATTTTCGAATGTTGGATTCAAAAAGATTTAGGCTCATGCTTAGGTAAGTGTCGGTGGAAAGTTTAAATTTATCAATGGGCTGTAATTGTATTCGAAATATTTCTTTATTCTAAAATTGAGACCATCATAAGTGGTAGAGCCACGCAGCAAGTATATTAATGTTGCACAGCACAAATGGTTTTGTGCTGTGCAACATTAATATACTTGCTTGGCCGGGGAGGTCGCTCTCACAAAATACCAATGTTAAATAACAGGTTAATGCTGCTATGTTTCGTTTGGTGAGTGTAGAGAACCGGAGACCCTTTTTACTGGTAAAGAGGCAATTCTACTTTATCTATTCTACATTTTGATTATTCGCTTATTAGAGGATAACTGAAGATTTTTATGGGCCACAGCATCTATTTACCATTAGGTAGACTGTTGGGCTTGTTTGTTTTTTCTTTATTATTTTTTTTACTTACGGACTTTATTTTTAAAAAGCTCTTGACATTAAAAAAAAGCTCCCAAACTAACAGGTATGTCGTTCCAGAGTCTGATGGCCTTAAGGGCGAAAGAGTGAGATAAGTAACCAGTACGGTGTAAAGGAATGAGCAACTTAAGATTAGCCGAAGAACGGAGAGAACAATTATGAGAATCTCCCAGGTATTAAATTTGTATTTCAGATACTCGAGAGCACATGGATCGTTCAGAATTGTGAAAAGGGAGTAGAGTATTCTAACATAATATCTGCGCTGACAGATAGGCAGCCAATTTAGCTGAGCACGGAAAGAAGATACATGACCGTATTTTTAGAAATTGTGCAATTGGATCACCAGTTTTCTTCCATATCGAAACATCAAGGTCGTAGTAGACGGTGCATGCTCCCACTACAAGCCTATTAATGCTGGTGTTCCGCAAGGCTGCGTGCTAATACCTACGCTGTTTATTTTGCATATCAATGATATGTTGCAAACCAGTGACATTAATTGCTATACGGATGACAATATTACTCGGGGACGACCAAATCTAGTCCAGTTTAGCTCTCTGAAGACACGTTTATCGTTAAAAAGAACCGTTTTTCACATGTCTTCAATTTTAAGGCAGTTTCCTTGCTGTTACAGCCAGCATCGCATACTCGGCATCGATATATCGAATGACCTACAGTTCCGCGAAATAGTTTACATGCGGCGATTTTTCCGGAATGATACGAGACCGATACGATACCTTCAAGAAACGAGCTATTTACCTGGTGTTGCAGTTTTTCGTGGGCAGCGGTCGACACTTACCATCAGGTGAGCCGCATGCTTGTTTGCCCCTTTTTCTATAAAAAAAAAAGAAAGTCGCGTGCCATCCCTAGTCCGTTTTTTACCGATCTTCAAAAAGGGTAAACGCCGATGCGGCACGGTCTTGAAAAATTTGTACGTTGAAAAGATACGAAGAACGTTATGCCGACACGCTGATACATGATACGAGTAGTGATACGATATGGTTGAATACGACTGCCTCGTCGGTCTAATGGTCGTATGGCGACTGCTGATCATGTGCTCTTGGTCGGGCTGAAATCAGTTGTTTGGTTTTTTCTGTCAAATATTCTCAGTAGCAGCTCGGAGTCAGAAAGGTGGCGGTGTTTCACACAAGTGCCACGAAAAGCATGAACACGCTGTTGGTATTTCACCTGATATTTCTCCGGTCGTATCGGATTGCCGTCCATCGGACTATGTGAGCGAGGGGATAGACAGTGCATAATTATGTGTTTGCGTATAAACTTGTGCACTGTAATCCCGTCCTGCGCAGATGGTTAGTCTCCGTTAAGACTGGCAGTCGTAACCGAAATTAGGTCCGGAGGATATTATGGTCGAAATGGGCTACATACTTAGGACTTAATGAACTCTACATTTTCTTATATTTTTTCCTAAGCAGAAAGCTGGCAGGCTGCTTAGTAATGTAATAATTATCTATAACACACCCCTATTGTACGTACATATTATTACGATCAGAAAGAAAATAATGCAGTAAGCCATAGTTCGAAAAAGTACAAAAATATAAAGGAGAATGGGATTTTTGGACCTGAAGTTAACTAATTGATTTATACTTTAAAATATTGGATATATTTCTATAAAGTTAAATACAAAAATTAGCTATTTTTACAATCTAGATTTCGAAAAAAACAATAAAATAAGAAATAAGTTAGACAATCGATTGTATTGATGCAATCGATTTTATATTTAGTAGGATCCAAAAAAATTTAAATTAAAAAGCCTCCAAGGTTTCATTAAAATTCTTTATTTATTTTGAATGATATATTCATTTGAAATAAAATAAATTATTCGCATAAAAAAATGAAATAAACATTTTATGGCAATAAATCGATTACCATAAAGAATACACTAGTGAAATTCTCATTTATTAGTTTGTGCTACCTACCAATAAAAAAAATTCTCATTTGAAACTTGACGTAACAGTTCAAACTTCAAAATTACTCAAGAAAAAGACCGATTTTCGATTCGATTTGAAACGAGCGCAATATAATCGATTCTTGATTAAATTCATTATTTTAATATCTATTTCCGATTAATTTTCTGTAGTAACTAGGGAGATAAAAAAACATTGTAAACATCTACAAAATAATAATAAAAAATACAAAATTTAGATTTAGAATTTAGATCTTAGAGATTTAGTCTTTGAGTTATCGTCAACCAAAAAAGTCAATCGGGAAGAAATTGTGAAATATGGAGAAAATCGATTCCCGTGCCGTTATAAAGTTCCTTACCAAGCGCTGAAAATCAGTTTAGACTATACTGGAAGAGATGTCATCCGTTTACGGAGACTCTTGTCCAAGTAAAACTATGGTTTACAAGTGTTGTTACACTTTTTAAACAAGGCAGAGAGTCACTTGAAGACGACCCACGGCCAGGAAGGTCGATCGAGGTGACCACTTCGGAAATTATTTAAAAAGACGAAAAATGTATATTAGAAGATGCCCGCCTAAAGAAAAAACAACTCGCAGAAATGGTTGGGGTATCAGATACAACCATTTTCAAAATTCTTCATGACCATCTTGGCATGACTAAAGTCAGCGCAAGATGGGTGCTCAGAATGCTTACGCCGCCTCAAAAGCAATAGCGCGTGGAGTGTACTCGTGCATTTTTGGACCTCTCTATAGAAGACAAAGATGGAGTGTTGGCTCGAATTGTTACTGGTGATGAAACTTGGGTTCACCATTTTGAAACTGAGTCCAAACAGGACACAATGCAATGGCACAAAAAGGCACACTACCACCCAAGAAATTCAAGGTGGCACAATCGGCTGTGAAAATCATGGCGACAGTCTTTTGGGACTCAGAAGGAATCCTATTGATTAATTATAAAGATAAAGGTGTCTCCATAACTGGAAATTACTACGCTTCAATCCTAGAATAATTGAAGAAAGCCATAAAGGAGAAAAGAAGATCAAAATTGTCCAAAGGAATCCTTCTTCTGCACGACAACGCGTATGTTCATAAGTGCCATGTTGCGATGGCTGCCCTGCAGAAGGTGGGCTTCGAAATTTTGCCACACCCACCCTATATCAGGAATATAGGCCTGGCCTGGCCTATTTCCAAACTCAAAAAAAAACTTCGTGGGAAAAAGTTTTTAAGTGATGAAGAAGCGAAGGAAGCAGTTTCGGCGTATTTTTTAGATAAAGACCAATAAATTTTTTTTGAGGGTATACATAAGTAAATTGAAAGATCTGAAAAATGTATTACTTAGTAGCAGGTGAATATATTGGAAAGGAAAAATAAATTTGGATTTTTATTTTCACTCCTTACCCCCCCCCCCCCCCCCCCCATTCCGCGAACTTAAAAATGCACACTCGTATGTAAACTTTCAAATGGTCCCATTTTAATCTTGTTAACATCTGGGCCCAAGAATGTATGGAGATGTCTCCTTCTCCTTTCTGGATGTTATTATATATATTTATATAAATGTGTGTATATATGTATGTATGTATGTATACCTATACATACATGGATAAATAGGAATATAAGTTATTAATTCTACTTTTACTATGTAAAAAACAAAGGTTTACTGACTGTCTAGTCTGCCTGGAGCACCGTCGTAGTTCTGCAGCGAAAACGCAGAACTCCCCGAAGGTGAGTATGAGCGACTTTCGCCGCGCACACTGCCGCGCGCACACCAGCATTTCAAACACTGCAACAAAGCAATATACATATAATACATATAAAAGACTGAAATACTTTTCAAAATAACTTCTACAAAGTAAAAAGTTTGTTGGAACTTTGAGATGATAAGAGTGTCTTAATTTGTCAGACAAATAATAGCAATATCTTCTCTATCCGTGTTATTTTTTAGTATTATTTTAAATGACTATTCTTCAATTTAGCAACGTACATTTATGGCGCCATAATCGGATAAAAATACTGTATGCGTCATAACCATGATTTATGTTACCATGAAGAAGGTGCACTTAAATTTTATATTCGTGTTTATTACAGCGACATCACTTGCTTGCGCAGTTTCATGGTTATAGAGTGGACTGCGCAGCTCCAATATATATATATATATATATATATATATATATATATATATATATATATATATATATCATATATGTGTGTGTGGTGCCGGGTGGTGCTATACGAGCAACTAAACCGAAAGGACAAACTCGTAATATTTACCACCCCCTGGTTTCACACCATGAGGCAGCGAAGAAAAGAAATGGCCCCCGAGTTCCCGGCGCCCCTTTAATGGGGCAGGGGTGCGAATAAACTTCTGGAGGAAAACCAGAGGTTCGCCACCCGTCACGTTCTGCACTGTTTGTCATCTGGCTACGCTGAATGTATGAGAAGCAATGAATGATAAGATGGATGAAGTATGCGATAAGAGGAATAGATGTGTTATGTGTAAATGAGACGAAACGGAGGGAAAGGATGCTACTACACATGGCATGTATACCACGTACTGGTCTGGTGTAGACGAGGCCGAGCGGGCACGACATGGTGTTGTGGATGAATCGGTATATGTAATTGTGGATGAGTTGGTATCATACTTTCATAAAGAATGGGTCAATGTGTGAATGAGTATGAATGTGTAAGCCCGAGACTGCTATGGATACGAATGAAAGTGGGCTTAAAGAAGTTGTTTGTTCTAGGGGTCTACGCCCCAGACATGTCTAGGCCCACTTATATCGTATATTTATGGGGGACGTTTGGTGATAAAATTATAAATGAGAATGGTGAAAGCCTCCTCACCGTATGTGTGGAAAATAATGTTTTTGTGACGAACACTTTCTTTCGTCTTAAGAATATTCACATAGATACATGGAAAAGAGGCGATGATTCATCCATGAAAGATTTCATAATTGTGGATGAAAGTATGAGGAGCGCAGTGGAAGATACAAAGGTTTACCGGGGTTCAACGAAGGGACGGATCATTACTCGGTCTTATGCCGAATTAATGGTCTATTCAGACGTTGGCGGCATCGGACATCTGTGTCTACCACTGCGTTACAGCGTATAAGAACAAAGAGGTTACAAGATGAAGGTGTGAAAGTGAAGTACAAATGTAGACTGAGAGAAAATATAAGTGGCTTGGATGAATTGTGTATCAATGTCAATACTTGGAAACAGTCAGAGGCGGGGGTTCGCACACCCCCACTCGGACAGTGTTTAGGTAACTCAAAACACCTCAACAGAGATTACATGATGATCGGTAACAATACCAAATCATAAACCAACATCATCCTCATCCCCATAATTCCCTTTCCTTTTTAAATAGCATGTGTCACACTAAGCTGTGAGAGCCGCATAGGCTAACAGCACTTACAACATAGAAAGTAGATAGACTTGGAGAATGTGTGACATAATGTTAAGAAAGGTTTGGTAGACGTAGCTACCGAAGTATGTCTGTAAGTAAGAGAACGAATGAAAGAAAAAATAATACGTTATGGTGGGATGATGATGATGGGGCTAGATTTACTAGCAACCAAGGCTAGTAATTCTGGCGGTATGAATGATGATGATGAAAGAAAAAAGGCAGTCTTGAGACGTCTAAGAATTATAGAAGAATATCGGATAACTTCCAGGCGAATATTAAAATGTTCTCGAAATACTTAAGAACTGCCAGGGGACATTCAAAATAGCCTAGAATGAATGCTATACAAGACCAGAATAGCTGTTTTCTGAATGACGAAGTTTCCATTTTAAAGAGGTGGAAAAAATACTTTAAAAGCGTGATTAAGTGAGGAGACGGTTGAATTAAATGAAATAGAAATTCCGAAAGAAGAGAAAAGAGATAGGAAGTTAAGTATAGATGAAATATTGAAAGCAATGAAAAACATGAAGGCAAGTAAGGCAGCCGGATATGATAGAGTATCAGTCGAAATGCTAAGGGCGGAAGAGTGAGTGGTAGCACAGGCTTGCTGTACACCTTGTTTAATTTATGTATGGAAACTGAAACGGGTACCAGGAGACTAGTGCAAAGCCGTGGTAATCCCAATATAAAAAGGTAAAGGCAGGAATAAAAAAAACTACGGCGGTATCAGCCTTCTTAGCATTGTGAAAAAAACTGTATGATAAGGTACTAATTGAAAGAGTTATTAAAGAAACTGATGGAAAAATTTGGAGTGTGCAAGCGGGATTCACAAAGAGACTGGGGTGTAAGCATCAAGTATTTTCCATGCGAATGATCGCGGAGAAGTTTTTGGCCAAAAAACAAAAAGATTTTTGTGCGTTCATGGACTTGGAAAAGGCTTATGACAAAGTGGACAGGTATTATTTATTTATTTATTTACACTTTATTGCACCTTAATTAAAGGATTACAAAGGGCGGACTTAATGCCTTTAGGCATTCTCTCCCAGTCAACCCGGGACGTGTGGAAATTAGGTGATAGGTGACAAAATAAAATGAACAATAGAGTAAATCAAGGAAAAAAAAACTACTGATAAACTTAAAAATAAACTAATATTATATATATAAATACAATAAACTTATATACTATAAAATATAATACAGACAATATATTATATTTACATACAAATATATAGATACATAAATATATACATATTATAAATACAAATAGATATATAACATAAACCTATAAATAAAATAACAACAAAGGTAACCAAATTGACCAAACTAACTATCATTAAAGTGCTTGTGTACCAGTCTTTTAAAGGCAGTCATATTAAATGTATTTCTGACGTCATCGGGCAAGGAGTTCCAGAGCAGTGCAGCCTGAATGGTGAAGGATTTACCAACAAAATTAGTAAAATGTAGTGGAATACTTAGTTTATTATTATATGAGGACCGCAGAGTTCTATCATGCTTTTGTCCACCCGATCCCTAAAAAAGGCGACCGCTCAGACCCGTCCAACTACAGGCCTATCGCCATCACCCCCTTGTTCTCCAAAATAATGGAATCCGTTGTAAACTGCCACCTCATGCGGTACCTTGAGGATCACCAGCTGATTAGTGACCGCCAGTACGGTTTTCGTCGGGGTCGATCAGCTGGTGATCTTCTGGTCTACTTAACTCATAGATGGGCGTTGGCAGTAGAGTCCAAGGGGGAGGCATTGGCCGTTAGTTTGGACATTGCGAAGGCCTTCGATCGGGTTTGGCACAAAGCGCTTCTTTCGAAGCTCCCTTCCTATGGGCTTCCCGAGAAATTATGCAATTGGATCACCAGCTTTCTTGCAGATCGGAGCATCAAGGTCGTTGTAGACGGTGCATGCTCCGACTACAAGCCTATTAACGCTGGTGTTCCACAAGGCTGCGTGCTATCACCAACGCTGTTTCTTCTGCATATCAATGATATGTTGCAAGCCGGCAGCATTCATTGCTATGCGGATGACAGCACTGGTGATGCTCTATACACCGGCCGTGCCAATATTTCTCGGGAAAACGTCACTGAGTACCGGAACAAACTTGTGTCTGAAGTCGAGTCTTTGCTGGACAAAGTCTCGGATGGGGGGCGACTAAATCTAGTCCAGTTTAATCCTCAGAAGACACAAGTTTGCGCGTTTACCGCTAAAAAGAACCCCTTAGTCGTATCTCCTCAGTTTCAAGGTACTCCCCTTGTTGCCTCAGCCAGTATCGGAATCCTCGGCGTCGACATATCGAGTAGCGTGCAGTTTCGTGGTCACTTGGAAGAGAAGGCCAAATTGGCCTCTAAAAAGCTTGGTGTGCTCAGCAGAGCGGGACAGTATTTCATGCCGGCTCAACGCCTGCAACTTTACAAGGCGCAGGTTCGGCCTCACATGGAATACTGTTCCCATCTCTGGGCTGGGGCTCCCCAGTGCCAGCTTCTTCCACTTGACCGCATCCAGCGCAGAGCGGCTCGAATCGTCGACGACCGAGTCCTTTCCGATCGGCTCGACTCATTGGCACTGCGAAGAGATGTTGCATCTCTTAGCATTTTCTTTCGCATTTACCATGGGGAGTGCTCTGAGGAATTGTTCGGATTAATCCCAGCCGCCAAATTTCACGAACGCACATCGCGGCAGAACTCCCGATACCATCCACACCATCTGGATGATTGGCGCTCCACCACTGTGCGATTTAGAAGATGTTTTCTTCCTCGCACAACTTCTTTGTGGAATAGTTTACCACCAGCGATTTTTCCGGACCGATACGACTTAGGGACCTTCAAGAAAAGAGCCTACTCCTTTTTAAAAGGCCGGCAACGCATCTGCAATTCCCCTGGTGTTGCGGTTGTTCATGGGCGGCGGTAGTCACTTACCATCAGGTGAGCCGCATGCTCGTTTGCCCCCTCTCCTATAAAAAAAAAATGCGTTGAGGAAATACACTGAAATTTGTCCTTGAGATAAGAAGGAGTGGATGGATCATTTAAGATAGAGAAGAGAACAAGCAAAATTCTAGAGTCACGCCTCTGTTTAATAGTGAGTCATTTAAGGCGAGAGCGATAGTGAGAGATATGATCAAATTTACGAAGATTGAAAATGTATCTGACGCAATTGTTGAGTAGGCGCTCTAGCTTGTTAAGAAGATTTTGGTTTAAATCCGAGTAGCACACGTCAGCATAATCAATGATTGGTAGTATAAGTAACTGTACAAGCATAATTTTAGCCTTAAAGGGGAGAAAATTTTTCAAGCGATGAAGAGAACGTAAAGAACCTGAGACTTTACGACATGTTTCGGAGATATGAACCCCCCAGGACAGAGTACTATCA